TCTCAGTGGCATGTTTGTTCTTTCTCACTCCCCCAGGGCCTGTTCCGCGTAGGTGGTCGTCTTCAAAAAAACACATGCTCGGAATAGGCCCAGGTGTTCTCCAGGGCTGCCCTCTCTCGGTATCGATTTGGGCCCTGGCTTTTGATGCTCCCATAAGACACCCAGTTCAGATTATCAACGCCCACTGGATCCAACGAGCTCGGTGCCTGCGCAGATGGCCTGGGCCTCGTCGTCGCCCACTTTGGGACCTTCCCTTTCCTCCTTCTCCCGTTTCGGGCCATTGCTACTCTCGCGGGACTCGAACTAAAGATCCAGAAGACAGTGATTGTGCCCTTATGGGCCCCTTTTGCACCTGCCGTGCACTCCCCCACTCAACGCCTCTTAGTTTTTCTAGTTTCTAGCGCCTGAGTGGCAGCACATTCAGATTGCAGAATGCGCATGCGATCTACGCGTGCTTAGTGGCCCAGTATTTACCCTAGACATCCTATGGAACGCCGCATTTGGCAGATACTGGCTGCGCGTTGTACAAGTAGCGGCGAGCGCCCCTGGCCCCGCAGTGGCGCTCAAAATGTACAACACATGTGTTATCACTGTCCTCTCGTACCCCACGCAGGATTTTCCATTTCCAGCCACGTTCCAGAGGCGCGAACGTGGCACCCTACATAAACTTGCAAGGTTTCCCCCCACCTTCTGGCGCCTCGTCGACCTCCTCGGTGCTCGCTCGTGGTCGCATTCGTTGTCCCCCAACTCGCTGAGCACGCTTTCACTGGCCTCAGCGTGGCGCACGGCATCTGTCGCGCTTCCCGACAGGAAGCCACTGTATCGCTCTTCAGTACTTGCTCAAAACAAGCTCAACCTAGAACTGAGCCTGGTTGATTTGGCCCAGGCCCGTCTTCGGGCCGCCGTTTCTCCCGCATTTTGGAAGTGCCCTGGCATCGTCGAAAACTGGCGCGGGCTTGCTGACTGCAAACCACGACACTCGGTCTCACCGCTCGCCCTGCGTGCAGCTCAGCGAGTGGCCGCACGTGAAAAGACTGCCGTTGCCCAAGAATCCAGGCGTGCCAGGGCCCAGCGCCCTCTCGCCTCGGTCCTCCACTCCCCCCCTCTTCCCCGACAAGTTCGCTGAGACTCTTGCCCGCCGTCTCTCATCGGCGCTACTTGATCTACTGGTGCCGCGGAATCTGTCCGACCGCTGGCAGGCATTAGCCAGTCACCTCTCGTAGAGGGCCGCAGCAATCCGCTGGGCCGTAAATGTGACGTTGGCGGGAGCATGGTGGACCAGCCACCGCTTCCCTTTCGGCCCGCGCCGCACTTGTCTGCTCGGGTGCGATGCTTGCCCAGATCGTCTCGGCCATTGCCTCACCTGTCCCCGCCTCCGTCACTTCCTCGCGTCACCTCGTTCCTTCCTTTCCTCGGACCCTTTCTTTCGCATCGGCCTAGGGACGCCTGGGCAACACGCTAACCCTGAGCACGTTATTCCTGAGGCTGTCCGTCGGACAGCACTTCCATTTCACTTCTACAACAAACTGCGCATCATCGCGCACGCCGTGCCCAGCGCCGCGCTTCTTTACACTACTGGCACTGAGCACCGAGCCGCTGCACTGCACGTGATAGGCCGTAGCCTGAGACGAACTGGAGCGGGGACACTTGCCCTCTTCTCGCGTCTTGCCCGCTTGCCCTCGTCGGTTCCCTTTTTGGGACGGTCGCTCCTCCTCCTCCTCCTCCCCCTCCTCGTCCTCCTCCTCCTCTTCGTTCTCCTCCCCCTCCTCCTCCTCCTCCTCCTCCTTCCTCGTCATCCTCCTCCTCCTCCTCCTCCTCCTCCTCCCCTCCTCCCTCCCCCTCCCCCCTACCCCCTTTCCCCCCCCGCTGCACGGAACGAGGGCGCTCTCTCCTCCCCTTCCCCCTTCCTCTCCCTACCCTTCCCCCCTCTCCCCTCCCCTCCCGCTCCCCTCGTCCCTCTCCTCCTCCCTCTTCCCTCCTCCGCCCTCCTCCTTCCTCCTCGTCCTCCTCCTCCTCCTCTCTCTCCTCCTCCTCTCCTCCTCCCTCCTCCTCCTCCCTCCTCCTCTTCATCTTCCTCCTCCTTCTCTACTTCTCTCCTCCTCCTCCTCCTCCTCCTCCTCCTCCTCCTCCTCCTCCTCCTCCTCCTCCTCCTCCTCCTCCTCCTCCTCTATCTCCTCCTCCTCCGGTTCCTCCTCCTCCAGCCTCGGGCCAGGCAGCTCGGCCCCGACCAGGGCGGCCCGAGAGCTTTCCATGGCGCCCCGCCCTGCGCCGCGCGCACGCCCCGCCGGCGCAGGGCCGGCGGCCTGAGAGCCGGCGCAGAGCCTGCCCCAGAGATCCGACGTATGGATTTCTCGCCCGTGCGATCGAGGTAGGCACGCATTGAGTCTTCGTAAGTTCTCTGATTCTCTGGGGGGGCCAAGCCCCTTTCATTTCTTTTTGTTTTATCCGGGCATTCTGCCTGGCCGCTAGGGGGCCGGGAACAATTAGAAACGAACACCATTAGAAATGAGCACGATTAGAGATGAACGACGCGTACGGGAATCATGGGTACGTAGCACACCCGTTGTTTCGGATGGCAGTGATGGGGGCGGGCGTCGGGTGGGTCGCGGGTGGGTCGCTGGGCGGACAAGTCCCACACCCAGATTTCCCGCACAAGAAGGTCGAGCCAGAACCTCTCCCGAGGTAGTTTGGCACTTTCAGCCCGCACGACACGCAACAAGTCAGTGCGATTTCGGGGAGCGGTGAGGATTCGAAACGCGAAGGGTTTCAGCCGCAGGAGAGGGGCAATTTATAGGAACTTGAGCAAAACGCGTTGGATTCGAGCCCCAGTCGAGGGCAATCTCAAGGAACATACGTAACACACAAACGGATTCGAGCCCCATCCGAGGAACAAAAGGTAGGAACATACGTACAACACACAAAGGATTCGAACCTCCGGGGAGTGGCGACGAAGCCTGCGGATGCGAAGCCTACGGAAGCCGAAAAGTGCCCCCCAAACACATATCACATATCCCAATGCAGGAAAACGTCTCCTTGGGCCTCTTGAGGACCCCTCGGGTTGGAGGGGCAAAAAAGCGCCCCCCGATCGTTTCTATAATAAACAAGTGTCTCCTGGGGCCTCCTGTGAGCGGAGGGGCCGGAAAGCGCTCCCTGAACACATCCCAGAACAGAAACGTGTTTCCTGGGGCCTCCTGCGGGCGGGAGTGCAGAAGCATGCTCCCCGAAGGCAGATTCCTGCAGCGTCCCGGGGCCTCCGCAAGTAGCGGCGAGACTGCTCTGCCGGATTGCCCTTTCTGCTGTTGAATCATTCGGAGGTGGACAGAACCCCCAACAGTGACACGTCGATTCGTGACACGTCGATTCGGTTCTCGAGAGGGCGCCGTGGCCGTTATTTTCCAGGCTTGCGCCCGCCAGGTTTGGGCCTCAGGTCGTTTTCACTAAACCACGTTTTACTAAAGGGGGGTCTGTCCAACCCCGAATCATGGGGACGGTTGGAACGAACCGGCCGTTCTGGCATCTGCGAGTAGCACCAGTAACGCTCTGGCCGCCGGAGGCCGGACGCTACGAACAGCCTCCGTATTGATTTGTTCCATGCGTTGGAGCTCTGGGGCCGGCGCTCGCTACCAGCGGCGGCAAATGCAGGCCAGCGGCGGGAGCGGCGAGGCTCGGCGGTTCAATGTTGCGGTTTGGGGGCGTGGGGCTCCACGGGTAGGAAGGCGTCCCAGGCTGAAATTGTCGGGGGAGGCCGAGATGCGGGCAAGATTTACGTCCATATCCAGTGCGCCTCGGGCTTCTGGGGGAGGGAGCCCGAAACGCCACGCTGCAGCGGATACGGGCACAAGTTTCGCCCTCGCAAGAGGGGGTGATGACTAGGACGGTCTGGATATCATGGCCGAGGCCACGATGCCTCCCCAGATGTCATGGCGTCTCCTCTTGTTTCAGTGCGTCCCCTGTTCCCCCCCCCGCGTCCGCGCATGTGCCTCGGGCCACGAGGTTCCCGCCCCCCCCCCTTCGTGGACGCCACCCTCTTGGACGCCCCCGAGGAGGGCATGGGGCCCGGCGGGTAGGAAGGGGTCCCAGGCTGACCTTAAGTACGCTGTAAGAGGCCGCTCTTCCTCTTGGCCCCCATCCCTGCACCGCCGAGTGGCGGCCCAGTGACGGGGCCCTGGGGGCATGGCGCCACGCGGGCAGGAAGGGGCCCCGGGCTGAACTTGCACTGTTATGGAGGTCTCCCGTCCTCGTAGATCCCCATCTGTGAGCCGCCGAGAGGCGGTTCACGGACGGGGCCAGCAGGGCATGGGGCCTTGCGGGCAGGAATGGGCCCCCCAGCTGAGCTTGTGCTGGAGGCGCCGTGTCCTCGGGGCCTCATCGCCCCAGACCCCCGACGTCATGATTTTTTCTATAACTCGCCGAGCGTTTTCCGCCTCTCGCAAAGTGCCTGCTCGCAAGCGTCCAGAAATCCATACGTCTGCCTTTGTGATCTGTATATATATATATATGTATTCATATATATATATATATATATATATATATATGTATATATACATATATATATATATATATATATATGTATGTATGTGGGTGTGTGTCTGTCTGCTTATCGTATTTCCGCTGCGGCGGATCATGGCCATTTGCGAGAAGCTTATTTGCGAGTAGTGGAACGCACTTGTCTAATAGCGCGGGCCCCCAGAGGCCTCGACCCACCTCCCGGGCCCGGCGGTGCAACCCGAGTTGTTTTTCTTCGACGGTCCCGAGGCCTGGCGAGGGCCCCCAGAGGCCGAGCGTCGAAGAAAACCCTGCGTCGCGATTCTTTCACGACTGTCGATGGGGGGTCCCGGGTCTCGCCCGCCGAGAGGCGGCCTCCCCGGCGGGCACCGTCGCCGCGGCGCGGGCGGAGCAGTCGCTGCTGCACGCCAAGCTCGCCACGCTGCGCCGCGACGTGGAGGGCCTCGGCGTCGACGGCCGCCGCGCCGCCGCCGAGCCGCCGAGCCGCCGCGCCGCCGCGGCCTCGCCGCACGGCGGCTCGCCCGCGCCGGCACGCGGCGGGGGGGCCGAGGCGGCGGCGCTACGCGAGGAGCTGGCGGCGCTGGAGAGCGCGCTGCTGGAGCTGAGGGGCAAAGTTTCCACCACCGCTGCCATATGCAGGGGGGGGGGGGGAGGCGGGAGGACGAGGAGGTGTCCTCCTCCTCCTCCTCCTCCTCCTCCTCCTCCTCCTCCCTCCTCCTCCTCCTCCTCCTCCTCCTCCTCCTCCTCCTCCTCCTCCTCCTCCTCCCAAACTACGGTAGTGGTGGTGGAACATTTGCCCATCAGGAGCGGGACGCCACCATCCTCGGAGGAGGAGCGGTGGCCACTGCCACCGGGAGCCCTTGGGGTGCGGGCGCTGGGCTTGCTCTCTCACCCCGCGCGTTGTGCTCGGCCCAGGTGCAGGCCCCCGGGGCCATCGCATGCCGATCCGGCTCGAGAAAGGCGGACGAGACCAGGCGCGAGGTGTTCGCAAGGCTATATCTTGTGGCAACGTCGGATCTCGAGGAGCCCCAGGGCGGGGGCAGCTCTGGGCGGGGGCGTTCCCCACCCCTGGGCGTCCGGTGCTGGGTGGACGGTATGGCGTGCCACCGCCCGGGTGTGCCCCCCCCCCCCGATGTCGGTCGCGCGCAGAGGGGGGGTAGGGCTATGCTGTTCCAGCCTACTTTAGCCTTGACCATCAGGAAGAATTCGAGCGCCAGAACAAGTACCGAAATCCCAGGGTGTTCACGTGTCGGAACCTGGGAGGCAGTCGCCTGACACTCTTTCGACACTCTTGTGACACTTTTCCGGATGCTCGAAATCATTTCTGGGACATGGTCTTTAAGCAGGATGGGAGCAACCTAAGGGTAGGGGCAGGGGGAAAGCTTCTTCGAAGCACCCCTGCTTCTTAGAAGGGGCGGGCCTCATCTAGATGTACGGCCGGCGCCTTCTGAGAAGCAGCCTCCCTCTGAGAGGCCTTCCCCCTCCCTCCTGACCTCCCAGGCCAGGGGCGTGCCACCGCCCAGAGGTGGGTTCCATCCCCATGGGTTCTCGGTGGGTCGGATGCCACTCCTGGGAGGTCAGATTCTGATTCGGCCTGATCCGCAATTCGGTTTACTCCTGCTCAATCCCGCTCAATCCGGTTCAATCCCGCTGGATCCCGCTGCATGCGGCTTAGCCCGAGGCCCACTCCGGCGCAGCAGCCCCCCCAGTGGGGCTCAAGCCTCTTCGGAACCCTCCCGACGAAGACCTCCCAGCAGCTGCCTCCTAACATCCCGATGGGCTCTCGGTGGCGGTGCTCCTCCGTTTCCCCTCTGAGCCATCGAGCTGCTCGGCGGGCGCGTGGAGGATCGCGCGGAGGGCCGCCGCAGTCGTGGCAGCGGCCGCCCCCCCATCCGCCGGCCTCCCGAGGGCGCTCCCCTCGCCACCAAAGGTCAGGAGGGAAGAGCACACAGACATAGTTGATCGTTGAGTCCCCAGCAAAGATGGGGAAGTGTGGGAAGTGGGGGGGAAACAAAAGCCCAGAAAATAAGGAAAACATGGGGGATCCTGTTCTTTGTGTCTATGTATGTGTGTGTGCGTGTGTGTGTGTGTGTGTGTGTGTGTGTGTGTGTGTGTGTGTGTGTGTGTCAGGGCCCCTTCAAAAGGGCCGGGGCCGCCTCGAGGTCGCCGTGGCAGGATGGACCCCGGTAGGGTTCGGTCGGGCCTGTCCCTCCACAGGAGGAATTTACAAAAATAGCCAAAGAATTAGTCAGGGGACGATTTTGTGAGTATTGTTTACTATGTTAGAGCATTTTGGGGGGGGGATTTTTTGATTTCTCGTCCAAGATCCCCCCTTAGGGGGACGTGCCCGAACGGTAGGGGTCTAGACGGGTCGGGAGGAGGATTCCGAGGCGGCCCGTGACGGCGCCAACGCCCCCGAGGCCACCACTAAGACGTCCGAGAGGCCCCCCAGCAACCCAACTCGTGTGCTTCCGAACCTGTGGGAGCAGTCCGGGAGCCCGCCCAGCGTGTGCGACGATGGGGGCCGGACTGGCCACCAGAGACAGAACCACCGCCAGCCAGAGGGCTGGCGGCTCCTTCCCCGGAGCTGGTGGCACCCCGTTTCAGGCGCGCGCCCGGGAAGCGCACGGGACGGAGTGCTACCAGTTCGGGGGTGGCCTCTGGGCTTCTGATGTTCCAACCTACTTGAGCCTTGTTCACCAGGAAGAATTTCGAGCACCCGAAAAGTGCCGAAACTTGATGTTTTTCACATGTCGGGCCCTGGGAGACCTTCGTTCGACATTGTTTCGACACTCTTTCGACACTTTTCCAGGTGCTCGAAATTATTTCTGGGAAGTGGTCCTTAAGTACGATGGGAGCAACATAACTCTGAGAACGGAGTTCTGGTGGCGGTCGCGGCTCGTCTTGCCCTCGTGAGCTGGGTCGGGTGAGAGAGCCGCCGCTGTCGCGACAGGTCGGGGCCGGAAGCATGTCCACAGTACTAGGATCTGTCTGTTCACCATTTGGTGGCAATCGGCGGCCCAAACGCAGTGTGTATATATGTGTGGGTGGGTGGGTGGGGTGGGTGTATTTTGCTGGACGCCTGGTGTCTGAAGAACCAGCCAGAAAATGATATCATACGGTCGGACCGAGGCCTCAGATCAATGCCAGTTGGGGGAGGGTACTCTAATGTTGTTCGTGCTCGTTGGATGTTCTTGTGCATCCTTGGGGGGCGGGCACCCTCGAATGTTCTTCGGTTTGGGTCGGCGGAGGGTCTCATGTTCTTGAGGGGTGCTTTTCTGTCCTTGGTCCGACTGTAAACGTTGCCCTGTGGCGGTTGCGCAAAGCCTCATGGGGCAGGGCCCAGGCACCTTCGTGAATGTGTAGGCGCGGCTCCCAACTGGGCCCTCCGAGAGGAGCTGCATGAGGAGCTGACTGGAGCTCAGCGGGAGCCGGCCCAGGCGTTGGGCGCCGAAGGTCTACGCAGTATCCACTGCTCCTTGGCCGGGCCCATCCTGAACCCAGCAGCGGTGTATGCGCCCTCCTGGCCAGGCCAGGAGGGCGTGGCGTATCCACCGCTGCTGGCGGGATGGGCGGGCCAGGGAGCAGCGGACACTGCCCAGGCCCTCGTCGCCCAGAGGCGGGCTTGTGGCAGCGCCGGTACGAGGAGGCGCAGCGGAGGGGCGACGCGCACGAGCTGGCGCTGCGCGAGCTGCGGTTGGAGGGCGAGGGGCGGGGCAGGGAGGCCACGCTGCTGCAGCAGTACCTGCGGAAGCTGGAGGACGAGGCTCGAGGACGAGTCAGTTGCATATGCACCTGTGGGGGCCGATCAATGGAGAGGGAGCACGATGCCGCAGAATTAGTCTTCAGATGTCCAGACGATGTTTCAAACATGTTTGAAACATGCAAAACACGTGGTTGAAACATGTTTACAGCATGTTTTACACATGTTGAATTCAATGATCGGACTGTTAGAGTGTCCATTGTCATGGCATCCACAAACATACATGCGATCGTGTTCTTGTTCATCGTTTTGCCGATGGGTGCGGGCCCTCGCCCCCCCCCCCCCTCCCCCCGCTTGGAGTCGATCGTGCCCGTTGCTGGCGCCTGTGTGGAGCGGGCGGAGCCCGCCTCCCCAGTGGAGGACGCATCGTTGCAAACAGTCGCATTCCGCAGAGATCTGGAGCCAGAACCCCCCTTCCCCGCGGCCCCCCTTCCTCGGTATCGTTTATCCGATCCCCATCCCCCCCATCCCCTTCGAGACCCCCAATTACCACCCCAGTTGGGGACGCACCCCTCGAAACCCGAAGGCAACGACATATATTTTGCATCTAGGGGGGTAAATCGGCCAGTGGGGCCCAGGCCACGCTGCTGGGGGTGGGGATCGGATAAACGATACGCGGAAATCCTCACGGAGCTGCGGGAGCGTATGTTGAAGTTGCTTTGGCTGCCCTGGATCGGGGAAACGTAAGACTCCAGTGCGCCGGAGTTGGGGTCTGCCGACGCTTTTTGGCGACCGCGTCCCCGAGAGTTGCGGTTCAGTTTTCGCGGGATGTTTGCAGCGGGAGTTCGCGTCAGATTTCAGATGGGGTCTCGTGTTTCTCATGGTGGTCCCCTCAGGCCAACCCGAGTCCCGAACCCGAGTCGTGCGTCTCCCCGACTGTAGGCCAGCATCCGTGACGAGCAGCGGAGGCGGCTGCTGCAGGACGCAGAGCAGCTCTCGGAGAAGCTGCGCTTCTCCGAGGCGGCCAGGCGGCGGCTGGAGGCGCAGATGCACGAGCTGGAGGACGGCTTCGCCCGCTGCGTGGGCCGCATCACGCGCGCGCGGGCCGCCGGGGTGGTGAACGCGTCCCTCGGCGACGACAAGCCCGTGGCGCGCTTCGCGGTGCTCCGCGCGGCCGAGGCGGGCTCGAGTCCAAGACTCTCGCGGTCCGACAAATTCCCCAAGCGGAAACCAAACTGTGGAAGACTAGCCGGGGGGCAAGCGAACCAGGCGAACGGACGAGACGGCGGAGGGGAATGGGCAGGGGAGGGAGGAGGGATAAGGAAGTGGAGACCCCCATCGCTTCTCCGCCATGCAACTCTTGGGTTACATCCTCGTTTTGTGGACCTCCTGGAGCCCACCAAACGGATCAGTTCGCCTCTAGTTCGACCCCAGCTCGTCTCAAGTTTAATTCAAGTTCGTCCAAAATTCGACTCAGGTTCGACTCAAGGACGACTCAAATCGCCTCACCTTCGACGCAGCTTCGACGCACGAGTGGAGCGAGTGTCTCCAGGAAGGTCCCCAGAATGAGCATCCAGCCTGGGAGGTCAGATTCAGCATCAGCGCCGGTAGATCCGTGGTCGAAGACGGGTCTGCTGGGATCACCGTGATCACCGTGATGGTTCCGACGGTCAACCCGCATAGTAAGGATGGGCAACCTTCCCACGGGTACCCTTGCATCCTTGCCTCCTCGGTCCACCCTTCACCGCTTTCGCTGGCCGCGCCCCGCTCGAAAACCTTCGAAATTTGCGACCAAGGCTCTTGCATTCTTTCCGCGCGTCCTTAACTATACGGGTTGACTGTAATCCTGGGTTCGATCTGGCTTAATTCGGCTCAATGGCCCCCTAATCGGGCGCAGTAGTCTTTAATGATTCTCTCGGTGATCTCCCACAAATGTATTGACGTACGAATGAACTTGCGGAGGTCCGCGCTGATTTCTCGGATCGGCGCCGGACCTCCCTCTCTTGCGCGCGGAGCGCGCCAGGGGCGGCGCCGGAGGCGTCGCCAGGGGGCCCAGCGCCGATCCAAGAAATCCGCGTGGAGCTCCCAACGTTGATGTTCACGCAGTTTCATCTTCATCTAAGGCGGACGACGGGGCCGCCGTGCTGGAGTTTTTTGAGGAGCCGGACTCGGCGTGGGAGATAACGTCGCTGGACCTCTCGCCGGAGGCGGGCCCCGCGGGCGAGGCGGCGCGGGCGATCGTGGAGGATCAGGGGCAACGTCAAGGGGGATCGGCTCCAGGTGCAGCGGTAGGGGGGATGGGCTCAGCGGGTTCGAGGTTCGAGGTTCTCCGACGTTCACGCTGTTCCTCGGCGGCTTTCCAGCCTCAGGGTGCCTCCCAGCGGCCGCGCCTCACCGAGAGCTCTCCGGGGGTGCCTGGATCGTCCCGAAGGGCCGCCGGAGGCCCGAGTTAGGGCACGACAACCGCCAATGATGGGACTGGGATAAGGGGGGATGCGTCGACCTCCCCCTCCTCCCCCTCCTCCTCCTCCTCCTCCTCCTCCTCCTCCTCCTCCTCCTCCTCCTCCTCCTCCTCCTCCTCCCCCTCCTCCTCCTCCTCCCCCTCCTCCTCCTCCTCCCCCTCCTCCTCTCTTCTCCTCCTCCTCCTCCTCCTTGACAGCCCACCCCACCCAGGAACGTGTGGTTCTGTTATCGGGGGCCCACCGGCGACGTATCTGCCGGCGCCGGGCTGCACCGGAGGCAGCCCGCCGCCCGAGATATGCTCCCCGCTGGGCAGGTCGAAACCGGGCCCTGCCCCGCGCCGCCTTCGCCTTTCGCCGCCGTCCTCCTCCTCCTCCTCCTCCTCCTCCTCGTCCTCGCCGCCGTCCTCCTCCTCCTCCTCCTCCTCCTCCTCTTCCTCGCCGCCGTCCTCCTCCTCCTTCTTTTCCCCCATCGCAGATGTCCCCCCCCTCTTCAGAGGAGGGCGGCGGCCTGCTGCTGAGGGCCGCCGGTGGGGGCGGCACAGCGAGGCTGCACTGCGGCAGCAGCGAGGAGTTCGTCTCGGGGGCTCAAGCGTGGGGCCTGGAGGACAAGTGGCCTCGCACAGTGAAGGCTCCGCTCGGGCTCCCTCTCCCATCCTCGAGGTCCTCTCGGGCACTGTGCGATCGTTTTCTTAATTCCACGTTTCGCCGATCGGCGCGGGCCCAAGCCCCCCCATACCTCCCCCCTCCCTGGAGTACACGTTGTTCATTTCTTATTCTTCGAAAGTTCTTTGATTTGTTGGGGGCCAAGATCATTTCATTTCAAATTGTTCTATCCTGTCCTCTTCCTGGTTACTAGGGGGCCAGGAACAATTAGATTAGAGATGAGCACGATTAGAAATGAACGACGTGTAGATCTTGGCTGTGTTGGGGCGCCTGCTTCAAGCAGGCGGACGGCTCCCCATAGGATGTCCCGTTGGAGCACTGTTCCAAACAGTCTCGCTAAACAGAGGTCCGGAGCCAGACCCCCACCTCCCCCCCTTCTGCCCAATGCCGAGACGCCGCATAAGAAAACGTTGACATTACCAGAACGCCCACCCATTTGCGGGCGAAGAACGGTACGGCATACATTTTCCAGGCGCTGGTGGGGCGGGCGTCTTCGACGGCGGATAAGTGTATGTTAGAACGTTCTTCGCACGCTGAGCCCAGTCAAGCCGCTTTGGGAAGCCTGCACCGGTTCGCTCGACATTGGCATTCGAGTTTGCCAGTGCAGTCCGCAGTCGGTTTCGCTAATTCGGGGTCACCCCAGCATACTTATACTATATGTGCGTCGCCCCCCCCTGGGGCGACGCGCGCACCGAGAAATCTTCTAGTATATGCGTCGTGGCGGGCGCTTTCTGGCCACACCGCTCGGGAAACGATGTACTACAAGATGGTTTTTATTACATGTTCGGGTCGGACGCGCGCCTCCAGGGAGGACATCTAGTATTAGTATGTCTCTGTGCGTCCCACTGATCGGCGTGCGTCTCGTTTGAGACGGTCGGTCGTTTTCAGGGCGCCGCTCAGCGGCCCTTTCTGGGGTGCTCTCAGCACGCGGCGCCGCGCGCACGCGGAGTGCCCCTCGGGCAGCCTCTCGCGGAAGGGCGCTCCGCGAGAGGAGCTCCTGCCCCTTCCCCACTCGGAGGCCTCCTTTTCGTTGGGAAGGGACTCGGTGTTCCTTCATAGGTTCGAAGCTTGCCTAAGGCTTTCCTTTGGTTTTCGAGGGGAAGTCGAAGTTTAACCCATGGGAAAAAAGGGGCCTCGTTCCGTGTTTAGGGTTCCTGACGTCAACGCCCCGGCTGTACGCGTTGTTCATTTCTAGTTCTTTGAAAGTTGTCTGATTTTGCGGGGGGGCCAAGATCCTATCCTGGGCCTCTTCCTGGCCACTGGGGGGGCCAGGAACAATCAGAAACGAGCACAATTAGAAAAGCGCACGATTAGAAATGAACGACGTGTAGAGGTTGACACCATCACCAGCATCGGCAGTGCGCCTCGGCGCCGAGGGAAGACGACCCCGCCCTCGGCGGTGGTGGCGATCCTCGGGCTCTCCCTGGGCAGCGCCGCCGCCCAGGACAGGCCGTCCTCCCGCTGCGGAGGCAACCACCTGTGTTGGTGCTGGTGCCCATCTTAGGGCGACGAGATCTATACATATCCACTGCTCCTGGCCAGGCCAATCCTGGGCCCAGGAGCGGTGTATACGCCCTCCGAGCCTGGCCAGGGAGGCATATACACAGCTCCTGGGCCCAGGATGGGCCTGGCCAGGAGCAGTGGATATGTATAGATCTCGTCGCCCTATGCATCTCCAGGCCTCCCACGCACTCCGTGCCTCATGCTTGAAGCACCGATCCTCAAGTGGTCGGGGGCCCTGCGGACGTTCGGGCACCTGCGGGGCGGCATCGACGGCGGCGTCGCCGCGGCGGCCGCCCGGGCCGGCCCCGAGGCGGAGGCCGGCGGCCGGCACGCTTGAGAGTTCGCCCCTTCCTGCTTCGGCGTCCACGCCCTCGGACCCCCCGGAGGGCTCCAGGAGTCGGGAGAAAGTCGTGGTCCACGTCCATGTCCATGTCCAGCAGGCCGCGGTCTCCTCCAGGTCCTGCTGCGGCTACTGCCGCTCCTCCTCCTCCTCCGTCTTCTCTGCCCATGTTTTGCGCCTCTGGTCCTCGTCTTGGTCCTCCTCCCTCCTCCCTCCTGCTCACCTCCCAGGTCGGCAGCTCAGGCTGGCTGCTGTGGGTGTGGGTTGTTGGGTCGTGTGCAGCTCAGGCAGCTCAGGCTGTTGTGTTGCGTACAGTGTGGTTTCAGTGGTTGATGCTAGCAAAATCCTTCCAACCCTGAGGTGCGGTCGTCGTCCACGTCGGGGCCCGCCGTGAAAACCAGCGCGGCATCCACCCTCCTGTCCTTTAGTGTCCCCCAAACAGCAGTCGGCGCCAGTAGTGCAGAACGGCTCATCCTTACCTCCCCCTTCCCCTCCCTCTCCTAGCTCCCCTTCCCCCCATCTTTCTGTTTCGCCTGCAGCCAAAGCCCACGCTTAGCAAGGAGAGATCCCTTCACAAGCTATTCTTGGAGAGCGGAGAGATGGGGATGAACGGGGGAGGGGGTGGGCGGGGGTCCGGGGAGGGGAAGAGGGGGGAACGTTCGATCATTTCGCGTGGCACGGGGGGAGAGGTAACGCGAAGGGGGGGACAGAGAACTGATGGCTGTATGGAGAGGAGGGACAAATTAACGTGGGCGGCGGGGTGGGGACTGGGGCAGAAGGGGGGGGGCGGATACGGAGGCAGGGATAACGATGGGAGAGTGAGCAGGGACGAAGAGAAGGGGGAGGGGGGGGGGAAGGGAGGGAGGCAGGGAGGGAGGGAATGCGGGAGAGTGTAGCAGGAGGGGGGAGGGGCGGGAGAGAGAGAAGAATGCAAGAGGAAAGCTGAGGGGGAAGGAGGGATGGGTCAGGAGAGTGGGTGAGGAACAGCGAAGGAGACATGATCATAGGGAGGCAGTTGAAACAACTTCATCAGCGTTGTCATCACGACCTTGTGCAGTGTACGCAACGAGTCCATCGTCAAGAACAGCCAGATCGACCTGAACGTGCAAAATCTGGTACTGTACGCGTCGGGTGCATTTTGGAATTTGTCGGCTTTCCTCTTGCTGCCGAATCCTAACGCAGTTTATGCTCATACCGGATTTTTCGACGGTTACGACAGCCCTTTGGCCATATCAGAAATGCCCTGCGGCGAGCTACCTTTGACACCCGCGTTTGCGCTTCCCGGGCCCACTCACCCGAGATTCCAATACCCCCGAAGTTTTGTCCCCAGCCATCTTGTGGTGTTGGGTCCTCGTTTTGAAGACACGGTCCCCGCGTTCTCCCTTCTTTCCGCCTCTCCTCCCTCCCTCCTCAAGGCCCAAATGCCAGCGTCCGCGTGCGCCCACCGCACCCATTTCGGCACGCCCCTCCCACGTTCGTGGCCTCATAAGGGAGCCCCACCGAAGGCCCAAATGCCAGCGTTCGCATGCCCCTACCGCACCTATTTTGGTACACCCCTAACACGTTTCGTGGCCCAATCGGGAGCCCCACCGAAGGCCCAAGTGTCAGCGTTCGCGCGCGCCCACCGCACCCGTTTTGGCACGCCCTTCACACGGGACGTGACCCCATCGGGTGCCCCACCGAAGGCCCAAATGCCAGCGTTAGCATGCGCCCACCGCGCCCATTTTGGCACACACGTCACACGTTTCGTGGCCCTATCGGGAGCCCCACCGAAGGCCCAAATGCCAGCGTTCGCATGCGCCCACCGCACCCATTGTGGCACACCCGTCACACGTTTCGCGGCTCCATAGGGAGCCCCACCAAAGGCCCAAATGCAAGCGTTCGCATGCGTCCACCGCGCCCAGTTTGGCATACCTCTCACACGCTTCGCGGCCTCAAAGGGAGCCCCACCGAATGCGTTGCGTACAGCGGTTGTACCCATAATTGCATATGTTTGGGTTCTTCGCTAGGCCAATATATATATATATATATAGAGAGAGAGAGAGAGAGAGAGAGTGAGAGAGAGACGTATCGATATACATAGTTATATATATATACACATAGATACACACATGTATATATAAGAGAGAGCGTGATCCACCGCCGCTTTACTGTGGACAATTGCCCCCCTCTTCCTCCGGAACCCGGAGGCCCCCCCCCCCCTCCGAAAATCCCCCCCCCTGCTGGACCCCCCACCCCCCCCCCCCCTCCTCCCCCGGCAAAAACCCCTCCTTCCCCTAACCCCTCCCCCCCCCCCTCGAAAACCGAGGGGGGGTCACTACCGGTTCGAACCCCTCCCCCCCCCCTCGAAAACCGGAGGGGTCACTACCGGTTCGACCCCCCCGAAAACCGGAGGGGGGTCACTACCGGTTCGAACCCCTCCCCACCCCCCCACTCACCGCCAGCAAACGACTCCCGGTCCCTACCACCGTCCGCGCCACATCCCCCATTGTTGTTCCCAGCACCACTGTCCTCACCACCACTGTCCCCACTGGTTCCACCACCGTCCCTACTGTCCCCACCAGTGCTCCCACCACTGTCGCACTGTCCCCACTGTCCCCACCACTGTTCCCACCACGGTTCCACTCTCCCCACTTTCTCCACGGCCCCATCCACTGCCCGACTATCCCCACTGTCCCCAGTGTCCCACTGACTCCTCCGCTGTCCCACTGAGCTGTCCCACTGTTCCCACCACTGTCCCCACTGTTCACCACTGTCCCCACTGTACCTCTGTCCCATTGTCCCACCGCCGTCCTCGCCACCGCCTTCACCACTGTCCCCACCACCACTGTACCCTCCACTGTCCCATTGTTTCCACCTCCCACTGTCCCCACACCACTGTCCCCACCACCACCGTCCCCACCACTGTCCACTGTCCCCAATGTTCCCACCATTGTCCTCACCACTGTCCCCACCACTACAGTCCCCACCACTGTCCCACTGTCCCCACCACTGTCCCGCTGTCCCCTCACCACTGTCCCCACCATCTGTCCCCACCACTGTCCGCACCCCCCTCGGTGGATTTCGAAGGTGGGGGGGGGTTCGAACCAGTAGTGACCCCCCACGGTTTTCGGGGGGGGGGGGGGGGGGCGGGTTCGAACCAGTAGTGACCCCCCCCCCCCCTTTTCATGATGAACTGGTGTGGGGGGGGGAGGGGTTCGAACCGGTAGTGACCCCCCCCGGTTTTCCGGAGGGGGGGGGAGGGGTTCGAACCGGTAGTGACCCGCCCGGTTTTTCGCCAGCAGCGGTAGAACACGTTCTTTCATATATAATGGAGGGCGGAAGCACCAGGGAACCCTGACCTGAGTACCCGGCCTTTGGCCCCTTCCTTGGGCGGCTTTTGGCCCGCCCGGGTACGTGCGGCGGGCTTTCAAGTTGCTCTCAGGCGGCCCGAGGTCGCCGAAATATCGTTCCAAGACGCCCAACATTGCCTGAAGACGGCTCTGGAGGCCCCTAAGACGCCCCAAGAAGCCCCCAAGAGGATTCCCAAGAGGACTTCAAGAGGCAAAATCGGCCCCAACCTCATGACGTATGCTTCAAGAGTTCTCGACTCGTTAGCTTGCAGAGCATCCAAGACGGCCCGCGAGGTCTCCAAGACGGCCCAAGAGGCTCCCTACAGGTCTCCAAGACGGCCCAAGAGAGCCCCAACAAGGCCCAAGGAGGCCCCCAAGACAGTCCATGAAGGCCCCAGGACGGCCAGAACGGATATTTCAAGCTTTCGGCTCCAAGACGCCCCAAGGAAGCCCCGGGAACCCTACAAAAGGCTTCCAAGAGGCCCCGAATAGGCCCCCAGAAAGCCTCAAGAGGCCCCAAAGAGGCCCCCTCCCAAGACGCCCTGCGGCACTCATGGCGATCCCGAAGTTTCCAGGGAGCGTTCACGCTTGCAGACAGCGTGATACGTCCTCTTCCCTCTCCCTCTCCCTTCTCCCCGCTTCGTCCGTTTCCCTTTTCCCTCCTTCTCGTTTCTCTTTCGCGCCTGGTTGTTCAATGATTTTGACCTCTCGAGGGCTTACCCGTAGCTCTTGGGGGGACTCATGCAGGCCTCTGAAGGCGATCTTGGGTGCTCTTGGAGGCCTCCAGCGCCAACCTGAAAAAACAAATCCCTCACATCCTTTTTTCAAGGTGGTCCCCCCCCCGCAGCCGTTCCCCCCCCCCCCCTCCCAGGTTTCTGCCTGCCCCCGAGTGCGTTTCGGTTTCCCCATCCTTCGTTGTACGGTCTCTCTGCTCTCTCTCCTGCTCTTGGGCTTCTTGCGTCTCACGTTCCACATCCTTCTCCTTCCTCTCCGCCTCCCTCCGCCCCGCTGCGTCATGTTCCCTCTTCCCTCCGCCTCGTCTCTCCCTCACGCCTTCTTCTCTCCGCCTCCCTCATCCTCATCTCTCCGTCATTCCTTCCTCCCTCCGCCGCCCCCACCCAGCACCCTGGCCCACTCAGTGGTAGGAGGCCCAGCTGTTTCAAGGTCCTTCCCCCTGGTGTTCCCTCCGGTCAGGCTTTGGCGTGCTCCCGAGTGCGTTCTCTTTGATGTCTCTGTCTTGATCTTGGGTCTCTTGCGCCTCCCGTTCCACATCCACCTCCGTTCTCTCCTCTTCTCTTCTCCCCGCTGCGTCATTTTCCCTCCTCCCTCTTCGTCTCTCCTTCACGCCTTCGTCTCTCCGCCGTCCTGCGTTTCGTCTCCCCCACCCCTCGCTGTTCGTTTGCCGAACTCTCTCTCTCTCTCTCGTTCCTGCTCTTGGTTCTCCTGCGACCCCTGTTCCGCGTCCTCCTTCCTCTCCCAGTTCCCCCCCCTCCCCCGTATCCTCTTGTCCCAGGCTTTGGCGCGCGTGCCCAAGAGCGTGTTTCCGTTTTCCCCCATCCCTCGCTGCCCGTTCTCTTTGTTCTCTCTCTCTCTCTCTCTCATGATATCGGTTCGCTCGCGTCTCCTGTCTCACATCCTTCTCTTTCCTTTCCCGCCCGCCTCCACCCCGCTGCGTCATTCTCCCTCCTCCCCCCCCCTCAACTCTCCCACACGCCCTCCTCTCTCCGACTCCCTCCTGCTGCTTCGGATTCCCAGCGCTGCAAGACGGCCCAGGCCCAGGAGGTCCCCGAGACAGCATCAAGAGAGCCCAAAGGTCCCCGCGGCGGCCCGAATTGGACGCCAGAAAGGGCCAAGCCGGCCCCAGATGCCGCCACGAGGGCCGAAGAGGCCCTCAAGACGGCCCCAAGACGGGGGCAACATGGGGGGGATCCGACATTTCGAGCCCAGATGCCAGGAGCCCCAGGGAGGCCCCCGGAGCGCCCACAAAAAGTCTTAAGAGGCCACCAGGAGACCCCCAACAAAAATCGGAGATGCCCCACCCTTCAGAATGCCCCCAAGAGCCTTCCAAGCACATTCCCCAAAGGCATGCAAGAAGACTCCCAGCTTTGTTTTGCCAGGCTCTTAGGGGTTCTCGGGTATCCCCCCTTCGGCTGCCCTGGGTCCTCCTCTTCGATGCCTTTCGCGACTTCCTGGAGCCTTAGTCAGCGTCTCCTGAAGCATCCACCAGGAATTTTGCTCCGATATGGCGACCCTCGTTCAGTGCCTTTCTCTTCCAAGGACCGAGTGGCTTCCTTCTCCCCTCCTGGCCAGTAGGCGGGCGGAAGCCCAATCTGTCTTCAACGCCTTCCTACTGCCTGCTTCTACGCACGCACCTCTCCCGAACGATGGGTGCGCAGCCACGAGTGTATGGGGTCCTTGCGATGCCGGGTCCGAGGTTGGGGGAGGCTTTGCATGGGTGGCATTTTGGCACGGTGCGCACGCTTCCTCACAATTTCGGAAATGGCGGATTGGTGATCGGGCTGAACACCATAATCGGCTTTGTCATAACCATGGTCTACAAGCACGCGGATGCGGTTGTGAAGTGCATGGCTCAGGACGGGGCCTGATCGCATCAGGCAAAGGGCATCACCACATCCCCATGCTGTGCTCTTGTCGTCACTCTCTTAGCTCCCTTCCCTGATGCTCCTCATCACCCGATGGCTTGACGACTCCCCAGCAGGACATAACGGCTGTGATTCTAAATTTGGTGTCAGTGGCATGTTTTGGGAAGACGTTGCTGTTGACCATGTGGTGTGGGATCTTGGTTGTATGCAATGCGCTCTACAACTACGCAGTGCTAAAGGGGGGCACGGTCAAACCGGCTTCTCATCCAGACGCCAGAGCATCATTCCGTAGTACGATTCTTGCTGGAGCTAGTCTGGTTGCGATCAAAGTTACCATCGCTGTTCTGTACAAGGTCTCTCAGGTTTCTGGAGGAGGCTTTGCTTATGCAACCACTTCCGCTGTCTGCATCAGTGAGGCTTTGAAATGCATGTTCAGCGTCGTGGCGCACATTTTTTGGGGGAAGCGTGACATTCACGGTGCAATGCCCATCAAGGTGTTAGTAGGCGCGTGGCTGTCGGCGAGATCCCAGCTGTCGCTGAACGGAGTGGTGCAGATATGTGTCTTGAGCGGCATGTACTGTTTCAACAATCAGCTTTCCTTTTATATCGCCATCATGGTCGACCCAGGCACTATGTTTCTATAGAAGAGGCCTTGCGGCATGACCATCACTGCCGACTGTGTATTGAGGAAGCGCGCGCCCGACAGCAGAGGGATAGGGGTGATCTGCAGCAGGAGAGGAGACTAAAGAGCAGGACTCTGAGGTGGATCAGCAGCAGGAGGGTGCAGCCAATCTCTCCCTGGTGCTGTCCGCTGTCGCTCACATTTACGTGCGCGCTCAGCCGCTTGGCATTCATTAGACAGAAGCTGTGAGGATCGCTCGGGCTGAGCGTCAGTGGGGTGTGACCAACCACGATCATGGTGCAAAAGGAAACGGATAGAGAGAGAGAGAGGGAGGGGGGGGAGGATGCTTTGGGGACGCAACAGCCTCGAGCTAATGTTTGGCCAACGTCAACAAAGGGGGTGCTGCCACCATTGGGCGAACTGGGTTGCCGAGGAGATTGCCAGGCGACTCGCCCTGGGCGAGTGCTGGACACGTTGCTCGGCACTGCGAGTGTGCCTCCACCTGCCTGCCGGCGGAGGGAGGGGTGGATCGGCCATGCACAGAGTCTTTCTGGCGTGCAAGGTTGCAGGGGCGCCGGGGTTGGCTCCTGGCAGAGCTGCAAGACCAGGGGGGGGCCCTGCATGATGAGGAATTCCACCAGGTTCAGCATCCATCGACTGTTCCTCTGTGTTCCCGCCAGGGGAGAGGAGGGGGGAGGAGGGGCCAAGACGCCTCTCCAAAGCGCGGACTGCCTGGATCACTCCCGCCCGGCCTCCCAACATATCAGCAGCACGCGAGTCTCAGCATGTTCAGCGGTCGCCTTTGGATGTACAGCTACTTGGAAACAGTACGCACCCCGGCTGCGCGACGCTGGAGGCGAGGTGCGCCACGCGCGCCAGGCGCGCCGCGCGTGCCAGCCGCGCCAGGCGCTCCCGAGGTTCAAGCGTGCCAGGCACGCCTGGTGCGCCAGATATCTCGGATGTGCTACGTGCTCCGAGCTGCGCCAAGTGTGCCGCATGCTCCCGCCGCGTCAGGTGCGCCACGATCGGGGCACGCGCAAAGTGTGCCGGGTGCGCCCGCTCACATCGGGAAGCACGCCGGCATCTGGCATCCACCATTCTTGTCGGAGGCCAATGGATCATCGCGGTGGAATGGCCCTTATGATGTCCGGTGGGCTTACACACGGCAGGCAATGTGCCAGCCCCCCAGCCGCCCCTGCCAAAACACGATGCAACGTGATCGCGGGGTGCCCGCGCATGATCCCGATTCAGCTTCGAAGTGCAGTTTGTATTGTTCCAAGCCGTCCTATGGTGTTGGGCCCTTGTTTTGAAGAGACAGCGCCCCGCGTTCTTATTCCTTTTCCTCCTCCCGCTTCCCCCTCCTTCCATACCGTCCCTACCTTTTCTTCCGCATGTCACTGCTTCGGCACAGACACACGTTTCGTTGCCCTACAGATAGCTCCGCCGAAGGCCCCAGCGGCAGCGTCCGCATAGCGCACCCGCACCCAATTTGGCACACCCTCGCATGCTTCGTGTCCCCAAAGGGAGCTCCACCGAAGGCCCCAGCGCCATCGGGCCTCTCTTGGGGACTGTCGTACGCCTCGTCGTGCTTATTATTGGTTTGTGAAACCCCTGTTGGATCTACCCCTATTGTGAAAGCTCCCTGTAGTGCCTCGGCGACGTCTTGGGCATGTGTACTACTAGACGCTCAGGGCCGTTTCTCGGTACATTCTTATTGGCGCGGAATCCCCCCGCAGCCACTGGCCGCTCAAACTGCGCCATTGGCACGTTTAGGGTTTCATTTAGGCGTCGGGCTTGCATTCTCAATTATCGTCCGGCGCCGGGCTAGGCCGTGTTATGAGACCGCGAGCTCGCTTGAATCACGCGCTTGTTTTCGCGCCGCGCAGATGTCGGCCCCATTGGGAGACACCTAGACGCGAGGGCCGAAACATCAAACATCTGCAGGCCAAGCGACAAGAACACATGCCTATTCCCAGCCCTCCTGCGTTGGGCTCCTTTTTTTAATAGAGCAGTGCGGCCTCCGCTCCTTCTTTCTTCTCCCTCCTTCTCTCTTCCCTCCTCCTCCTCCTGTCTTCACTCCCCCCTTCTGCCTCTTACCTGGCTTGTACCTGCCTGTCAGCCTGTCGCTGACCTCGCCGTCCTATGTCACATCGCTATCTTTGTGGGGCTGCGACCTGCAAAACGGTCGCTGCTGTCGAGGGTTGCTGGGCGGTTGGGCAGCTTAGTAGCGTGCTACGCAGATCAGAGCGGACCTCGCCATCTGTGGGTGTGGGGGGGAGGGGGCGGCGAACTACGAAACTGTCGCCACGTTGAAGGGCTGTCGGGAGGGCTAGGGTAGTGCGGTGCTACGCAAACCAGAGCGGTACCTCGCCATTTCTAGGGGGGCTGCGAACTGCGAAGCCGTCAGCGTTTTCGAGGGTTGGCGGGGTGGGGGGGCGCAGTTTGGTGCGGTGCTACGCCGATCGGAGCGGGACCTCGGCATCTTTGCGGGGGGGCTGCGAATCGCAAAACGGTCGCCATGTTCGAGGGTTGCGGGGGGGGGAGAGTCGTTTGCAGTGCTACGCAGATCAGAGCGGGAACTCGCCATCTCTGGGGGGGGCTGCAAGCTTCGAGCTTGTCGTCGTTTTCGGTGGTTGCTGATAGAGGGCGGCTTAGTGCGGCGCTGCGCAGATCAGAGGGGAGCCTCGTCATCTCCGGCGGGTTGCGATCTGCGAAATTGATGCAGTTGTTCAAGGTTGCTGGGAGGATTCGGGCAGTGCGGTGCTACGCAGATCCGATAGGGACCCCGCCATTTCTGGAGGGCTGCGAACAGCGAAAGTGTCGTCGTTCCCCAAGGCTTGTTGGGAGGCCTAGGGTAGTGCGGTGCGGTTCTACGCAGGCCAGAGCGGGTCCTCGCCATCTCTGTGGGGGCTGTGATTTTCGGAACCGCCTTCACATTCGGGGCTTGCTCGGGGGGCAGCCTTGCGCTGTGCTACGCAAATCTGAGCGGAGCCTTGCCATCCCTTCGGGGCTGCGAACTGCGAAAAAGACGCCACGGTCGATGGTTGATAGGAGGTTCGGCGGAGTGACGTAATGTTGCAGACTCAGGTTCGATCTTGGAACCATGCTTGCACGCTTGCCACTCGTTTCGTGTAAGGCACCCATGGGCATGGCTTAGAGCCACCCCGGGCGCCTTGGGGCGATCTGGTGCTATGTTCGGTCGCCCTGGGGATTAGTTGACGCAGTTGTCTTTCGGACCTGATACTCTCCCATGACAACTTTGCAAAGCATGCCAAGTTTGTGTATCTGCGCGCATCCCCGAATCACTGACATGCCAGAGTCATCAAGGTGTGAGGATGCCTTGCATATGTTCTGACGCAGTTGCCCTTCGGAGTTGCACATTCCTGCACTTCCACGTCTCGGACAGTGCCAGACCTGCGCGAAAAAAGGCGGAGGAGGAGGAGGAGGAGGAGCAGGGGGAAGAGGAGGAGGAGGAGCAGGAGGGAGAGGCAGAAGAAATGAGGAGGAGGAGGAGAAGGAGGAGGAGGAGGAAGAAGAGGACGAGGTGGCCCACTGGACTCTCAGTTTTACCCCTCTTCGGGATCTTCACATTAAACCACCCAGGGAGCATTGGATACAGATGGTGCCATCGCGGTACGCCCCAGGCATTACGTGACGCGTATGTCCATCGGACTTGCGCATTGTTCCGCCTATTCTATTTCAAAGCTTGCCACACCTATGCCTCTACGCGCCCACGTCGCTGGAATACCAACAGCCACCCGGGGCGAGTCGTTGTTGTCATTGGCGTTCGCTTCTGTTTCGAAAAGCGTCGCTATCGCAACTTTGCAGATGGTTGTTGCCGCGTTGGCTTTTGGGTTCCTCTTTCCGCCCTTCTCCTGCCCCTCGTTCCCGCCCCCGTTCGTTTTTAAGCTTGTAGCCTCACTCTTCGTTATACACATATATATATATATATCTATACACATCTATATATTCCCAACCATCCTGTGGTGCTGGGTCCTCGTTTTGAAGAGATGGTCCCCGCGCTCCTCTCCTCTCCTCCTCCTCCCCCTCCTTCCTACCGTCCGCATGCATCCCCCTCACCCAGTACACCGCTTCGTGGCCCCATAGGGAGCTCCACCGAAGGTTCCAGGTCTACCGTCCGCATGCGTCCCCCCCACCCAGTACAGCGTTTCGTAGCCCTTCTCCCCCTTCTCCCTGCGTTTCACCCACCCAATACAGCGCTTCGTGGCCCCATAGGGAGCTCCACCGAAGGTTCCAGGTCTACCGTCCGCATGCGTCCCCCCACCCAGTACAAACCCAAACACCCTAAGCGTAACACCGTGGCCCGAACACCAATACCCTAACACCCCAATCCCAGCCTAACATTCTAAACCTATCACCCTGTCCCTGGCACCCCATCCCAAACCCCTTGAGCCTAACACCCTGACCATTACCCCATACGCCGAACACCCAATCCCGAACCCCCTAACCGTAACCTGCGAATCGTAGCCCCTTAACCCTAACACCCTAAGCCTAACACCCAGGAGCCCACAAAAGTGGCCACGGTCGCGCAGTTCGCAACCACCGAGGGAGTTGCGAGGTTTCGGTTGGGTAATTGTACTCCTCTATTCCGCCGTGCCTCCCAGGAGCCCACGAAAGTGGCGACGGCTGCGCAGTTCGCAGCCACCCAGGGAACGGCGAGGTCCGGGCTGGGCGCGCGCATCCCAGGAACCCACGAACATGGCGACAATTGTCAGTACGCAGCCGCCCAGGGAGCCGCGAGGCCTCGGCTGGGGGCGTGTATTCCCTCATGCCGCCCGACTTCCCAGGAGCCCACGAGAGTGGCGGCACTTGCGCAGCCGCAGCGCCCAAGGAGCAGCGCAGGAGGAGAAGGGAGGATAAAGAGAAAACGGAGGAGGAGGAGGAGGAGGAGGAGGAGGAAGTGCGCTATCCAACACGAGAACCCAACACAGGAGGGTTTAGGGCAAATGTTGTGCCGTGCATGGTGGTTGTTGTTACCATCCTGTTCTCAAGTGTTCAACCCTCACGCTCCTAGGCGATTGTATTTTTGTGAGCTGAGTGCCCCCGATCTAAGCCCAGCTCCGCAGGGATATCCCCGATATCACAGGCTCGCTGTTCGCAGCCCCCCCCCCCATCCGGGATGGCGAGGTCTAATGCACACCTGCGTGAAGCGTCATTCCGCTGGACCCCCACAGCAGCCCTCGAACGTGGCGACAGCTTCGCACTTCGCAGCCCGCCAGGGATGACGATGTCCAATCTAAGTCTGCGTAATGTGTCACCCCGTTGGACCTCCAGCTGACCTCAAACATGTCGACGGTTGCGCAGGCCGCAACACCGCAAGGATGGCGAGGTCTAGTCCAGGTGTGCGGGAGGCGTCACTCCGCTGGACCCCCCAGCAGCCTTCAAACGTGGCGACGGTTGCGCAGTTCGCAGCCCCCCAGGGATGGCGATGTCTAATCTAGGCTTGCGTAGAGCGTCACTCCGCTGGCTCCACCGGCATCCCTGAAACGTGGCGGCAGTTTCGGTGTTCGTAGCCCCACTCCCATGGATGGCGAGGTCAAATCTGCATATACCTGAGGCGTCTCTCCGCTGGACCCCCCAGCAGCCGTCAAATGTGTCGACAATCTCGCAGTTTGCCCCCCCACATTCCCAGGGATGGCGAGGTCTAGTCTAGGCTTGCGTATGGCGTCACTCCGCTGGACCCCCCAGCATCCCTCAAACCTGGCGGCCATTTCGCAATTCGCAGCCCCCACAGGGATGGCGAGGTCTAGTATGAGTTTGAGTAAGGCGTCACTCCGCTGGACCCCCCAACAGACTTGGAAGATGAGATCTTTTAGGTCTGTATCAGGCGTCACTCCGCTGGACCCCCCAGTAGCCCTCAAACGTGCCGACGGTTGCGCTGTCCGCAGCCCCTTAGGGACTGCGATGTCTAATCTGGGTCTGCGTAAGGCGTTACTCTGATGGCCCCACCAGCATCCCTAAAACGTGGCGACCGTTTCGCTGTTCGCAGCCTCCCAGGGATAGCGAGGTCTAATGCACATCTGCGTGAAGCGTCACTCCGCTGGACCCCTAGCAGCCTTCAACAGCGTCGACAAACTCGCAGTTCGTTGCCCCCCCTCATCGATGGCGAGGCTTAGTTTAGGTCTGCATACGGCGTCAGTCCGCTGGGCTCCCCAGTGTCCCTCAACAGTGTCGACGGTAGCGGAGGCGGCAGCCCCCAGGGATGGCGATGTCTAGTCTGTGTCTGCGTAAGGCGTCACTCCGCTGGCCCCACCAGCATGACCCAAACGTGGCGGCCATTTCGCTGTTCGCAGCCCCAGGGATGGCGAGGTCTAATGTACATCTGCGTGAGGTGTTACTCCGCTGGACCCCCAGCAGCCCTCGGAAGTGGCGACAGTTTCGCAGTTCGCAGCCTCCTAGCGAGCCATCAGGCAGGACGGCGAGGCAGAATGCAGGATAGAAGGCGGGACAGGAGGTGGGCGGGAGGAGGAGGAGGAGTTCGCGACAGCAGTGCTCTATTCAAAACAAGAACCCAACGCAGGCGGGTTGGGGAATAATTCCGTACGGCGCACATCTGGCGCACACTTGTTGATCCGCGCGCCAAATCCATGGATCGCTAATCCATGTTTGCGCGCCCCCGACAGTAATTGACCCTTCCCTGGAGAGGGAGAAGGAAGGTTAGAAGATGAAGCTCCCTAAACCACCTCCGCCCAGAGGGCTGATGGGATGCGCTTTCCCGCTGTGTGTTGTTCTGGATGATCCTCGGGAGCGGAGGGAAACACGCAGTGACCCCAGAAATAAGCCATGCAACTTGCACGCCTGTGCACGCTCAGCCCGCTTGGGCCAGCGGGTTCAAGGCGGCGGAGACGAGCGTGGTTGCGAGTCTGATGTGCGCCTGCGGGGGCAAGCACTTTTCTGGCGGGCAGTGGCGGGCGTTGGGCCTGCAGGCTATCGCCATGGTTATACTGCAATACGATCCTTGCCGAGGAAAGCTCGTGTACCCTTTCAAAGCGTATTTCTGGATGGCCGTGAGTTGTCTCGTTACAGCTGTCAGCACCGCGCGCAACGATTACCTTTTGAAGAATTACCCGATCGGTCTGAACGTTCAGAATGCATTGCTTTACGCAACCGGTGCTGTGCTCAACCTGTTGTGCTTCTGGGTTTTACCAAACCCCAACAGCGTGCAGGCCAGTATCGGCTTCTTCGAGGGTTATGACAACGCGCTTGCCGTGGCTTTAGTCATCTGAAGGGCTGCGCCCCCTGCCGCCGCCCGCCCATGTGAAGCCTTCTTGGGTCGTTTGGGGCCATCTGGTGCCACCGTGGTCCTTCTCGGGCTGATCTTAGGGGCATTCGTGGAACTCCTGAGGGTAGTAGTGGGGCCTCTTCAGGGCGTCTTGAGACCGTGTTAGACCATCTTCAGCGATGCGGGGGGCATTGTCGATCCTTGGGCGCCTGTCGGGAAACATTGGATTCGTCGATGGTGTCTGAACTTCGTGGGAGCAAAATACACGAGGGATCATAAACAATGAGCAGCGATAAGCTGCATCCTTGGGCCCATGGAAGGCCTCTTGAGCACGCGTGCTCCTTTGATGGGGTCCTTCTGGAATCTTGGGGCAACTTGTGATGGTCAGTTGGATCAGAGTACCGCCCCCGACATCGTGTGCGTGTGTGTGTGTGTGTGTGTCTTTGACGCCGCGGTTCCGCCTAGTAGACAGCAGAGGGAACGCATGGCTTGAGAATGAAGAGAGGACACATCACGTCATTTGGAGAATACTTGATACACCAGCGCGGCAGCAATCCAGCAACGATGCCGCGGTTGTTCCCCCCGAGGCGACTGGCGGATTTCCAATGTCATCATCGGTCTCGCAATCAGCGTCGTGTACAAGTATGCCGATGCCATTGTAAAGTGCATCGCTCAGGATGTTGCCGCTGTGATTCTCACAGTGATTTCTATGATGTTCTTCAACCTCAAGATGTCTATAGAAGACTGGTGTGGTATTGCAATAATTTGCAGTGCTGTGTACGACTACAGCACTGCTGCTACTCATGCACCTAGGGCTACCACACACGGTGCTCGCTTCAAGCGTGCCTCTTGTCGAACATGTAATCGAGGTGGCAGCTTCGCGCACGTGCGTAAATGCCAATCCCACATTGTTTACACACGGCATCACTGACGGCTACATGTCAATGTGTATGGAAGTGCGCACGACAGTTTGCAATCGCCACGCACTTGCTACCAGCGCCAGGCTGTTCTCACAGCTCGTGAGTCAGGCAGTTGTTCTGTTGTTTTCTGGTATCCTTCGGGCGTGTGCCAGGGGAGGGCTTGGCTGCTCCCCGATGTCATGTTGCTTCGTGGCAAAAACTGGCCAATTATGGCGTTCCAGAAGGGGCCTTGCCTTCGAGGATCGAAGGTGTAACCCTCGCTTCCTCGGCGGAAAGCGGCGGAAGGTCTGCGGATGGCGGCGGAAGTATAATCATGCCTCCTCCGCCAGCGGAAGCTGGCGAAAGTTCGGCGGAAGGCGGTGGCAGTAAAAGTCGGCCTCTCAAGAGATGGCATGTTGTTTTGGCTTAGTGTTTCGGATCCTGCCAAGTGTGGCGAAACCACATACGCACGTGGCCACAGGACCCTTGCTCGGCTAGACCACATCGCAACGCATCGATTTCCCAAGTTGTACTCGAAGGCTCGCCGCGGAGACCCGAGCTTAACTCAGGTTGGGTTGTGGCCCCCAAGCTTTCGAAACCGGCTGGCGTAAGCTGACTCAGATGGCACGCGTTCTTTGAACAGCATGCGCAAGGCTTAGATCCTTCGCCAGCAACAAGCTTTGGCAAATTGCCGGCTCAGTTCCATTATGTTTTGTCTGCTTGGGTCGGCGTGGGGGGGGGCGGAACGCGCCGGCGTCTTCCAGGCCAGCCTTTTCCCACTCCCACCCCGAACGCTGCCGGCGTGGGGCATGGCCTCCAGCAGCAAGTTGTGCGCAGCATGCCAGAACGCGTGCTGCCGAATGGGCAGCAGAGGAGCACACCGAGCACGCGGGGCACACGGGCGGCACAGGGTACATTGTAGGCCTCCTCCTACATGGTGTCGGAGTTGATGGGGTCGGAGGATCGCGCCGCATCGCCGATGCACCGACGCAGCGTTCCGTACCTAGCGTTCCGTACCCAGCGTTGACGGGTGGAGCGCTCTGTCGCCTTTTGTTCAAATTTGCATTCAAGGTATAGTATTCGATTCAGAAACATATTAGATTCATGCGGCCATCGGATGGAGACCCGCTTGCACGCATTGAGCCTCGAAGGCTCGCGGCCTTCCGCATGCAAGATGGGACCACCGGCTGGCATCTTTCACGCGTGACATTTTGAACGCAGCATCCCACTGGACTAGGATATTCCAGACGCGTTCGTGGAGTATTGCTTGCAGACGCAAGGGCGGGCAATTGTTCTCATTCTTTTCCCTCTCCCTCTCGCCCCCCTCCCAATCCCCCCACCATTTGCACAGTGCTACATCGCGCGTGCAAGCCGCATTGGTTTAACAGCCCAGAATCATGCCCCGCCCCATCACGGGCCAACCGTTTGGTTTGATCGAGCTTGTGCTCTGGTCTCTGCCAGCAGTTGCCCCAAAGAAGCGTCTTATCCCTCGATGGCCCCATACGTAAATTCCGAGGCACCTCAGGACCCTCGAATGTTGACGAGCAGTGTGCTCGAGTAATTCTTGTGGACAATTTTGGCATCGTATGTGTCCATCGCAGAAGTTGCCTAGGATCCCATAGCAAGAATCAGACTTTTCTGGTTCGGCCATATTCGGCTTGACAGGTGGGATCAGGCTAGACATGGTGAGCCGTCGCTTCGGCGTGCGTGCGTGCAGCCCAGCCGCAATCGCAACGTCGTCGTCTCTCTTTGGCTAGACACGCGGCCGAACTCGTACGTTCACTTTTCTCCCGGTTTGTTTTTGTTTCCCCATCCTCTTGCAATTATGACTGTCGGGGGGGGCCAGAGCTGGAAAACGATGTGGAATAATCGTATCCTGTTCCTCTTCCTCTTGCTGCTGCGCCTCCTCTTCCTCGACCCCTGCGCCGATGCGAAGAACGTGTCGACTGACAAGCAGCCTCAGGTTTCGACCCGTGCACCTCGGACCTGCGTATGCCTTCGCAGGCTGCGTCCAAACCCCGTAGTTGCAAGCGCTGCCAGGATACGGTCGGGCAGTTGTGGATAGCGTGTCGCTCCGCGGGCTTTGTCCCACCACTCTCGGGCGCGCCGCGCGATCCGCCACCCAGGCCCCAGGCTCGCGGGCGATGTTTCTCCCCCAATCCCCGAGTTTCGCCCGAAAAGTCTGGCCGCTCAGAAGAATGGGAAAACCCTGGGATACACCCCAAGGGGGCTATTCGGACGCACCCCTATCGAGAATGGACACCCCCCCATCGTATATCCCAGGGTTAGGCCCCAAATTTCTGGTCCATTCGGAAACCCCACGAAGCCTGGGATAGGGGTCGACATAGCCCCTGTTACAGGCCTCAACGTCCCGAGCCTCTCCGAGCTTCCCGCCCCGCGGAGCGGAACGGCGCGCTGCTGTCAGTTCGGGGGGCGTGGCACGTCGCCGGGGCCGCCGCGGCGACGCGGCGGAGCAGACGTGCCCGACCGCGCAGGAGCAGAGGCGCCCGAGGCCGGGCCCCGAGACCGAGCGGTCCTGCTGAGGAGGAGGGGGAGGAGGAGGAGGAGGAGGAGGAGGAGGAGGAGCAGGAGGGGGGAGAGGAGGAGGAGGAGGAGGAGGGAGCAGGAGGAGCAGGAGGAGAGGAGGAGGAGGAGGAGGAGGAGGAGGGAGGAGGAGGAGGAGGAGGAGCAGTAGTAGGAGGAGAGAGAGGAGGAGGAGGAGGGAGGAGGAGGAGAAGGAGGAGGAGGAGGACGAGGAGGCCTCTGGGGAGCCCCTTGGGTGCCGGCCGCCAGGTGCCAGCGCCCCGCAGAGCTCCGGCCCCGCGGAGTTCTCCAAGAGCGCCGCCGTGCCGTCCAGGGTGAGCGGCTGGGCGCAAGCCAGGCGGGGAGGGGGAGGGGCGGAGGGGGAGAGGGGGGGATGGGGGAGGGAGTGGAGGGAGGGGGAGGAAGAGGGGATGGGGAGGGGAGGGGGAGGAGAGGATGGGGGAGGGGGGGAGGGCAAGCTAGGTGCGCTCGCGTCATATCTGACGTCCTACCCCTCCCTCCCATCCCTTACCATGGCGCTGATTTTCTCTATCCGCGGACGCGTGTCGTAGCGGACCTGTGGCTCCGCGCGCGCGTGCGTAGTGGGTGGTGGTGCACGTGCGTGCGTGCGTGCGTGTGTGTGGTTGTGGTGGTGGTGGTGGTGGTGGTGGTGGTGGTGGTGGTGGTGGTGGTGGTGGTGGTGGTGGTGGTGGTGGTGGTGGTGGTGGTGGTGGTGGTGGTGGTGGTGGTGGTGGTGGTGTTGGTGGTGGTGGTGGTGGTGGTGGTGGTGGTGGTGGTGGTGGTGGTGGTGGTGCGGTGCGGCGCGGTGGTGGCGGGCGGATGGGCGCGCGAGAAAAAGGCCCGCGCTGGGGCGAGAACGCCATCCTGAACGACGGAGGCCAAACACCGATCCGAAAATGAGGCCCACGCTGCAGCGGGAGCACGATTCGGAACGATTCGGGAGCAGAAATGAGGCCGGCGCCTCAACGAGAGCAGCATTTTGGGAAAAAATGACGCCGGCGCCTCAGCGAGAGTCGTTTCCCGGGATTTCCCGGGCATCTTGTGTGTAAAAAAACAGTACGCGGAGGGTGCGCGGCCATCACCCGGACGTCATCAGGGGAAGAGGGAGAGTATTTTCATATTGAGTAATTGTGGAGCAGGGGGAGGGGGAGGAAGGGGAGAAGGGAGAGGAGGAGGAGGAGGAGGAGGAGGAGGAGGAGGAGGAGGAGGAGGAGGAGGAGGGGATGGGGGAGGAGGGGGGGGGGAGAAGGGGGAGGAGATAATGGAGGAGGAGGAGGAGGTGGGAAGAGGATGATGAAGATCAGGATGATGAAGAGGAGGAGGATGTGAGGGGAGGCGTATCAGCAGGGCACGCGAGGCGTTTCGCCTCAGGCGGCCTGACAACCTAGTTAAGGCCTCGCAGCTTGAAGTCCAACATATACACGTGCGGGCCGCTTTCAAAATGTGGTCGTCATGCTATCGGTGTGCGCATTCGTCTTCAATACCTCCGTTTTCGCAGTACTGGAGGCGGAGGTGAGAGAACATGTCTTGTGGCTTTCGCCCTCTCGCCGCGAAACTTGTGTTTCAATTCCACAGATGCACGGATGGAGGGACTGTGTCTCCAAAGCTACTCCCTAGATTGTGGAAGTTCGCACCAGTTGCTCCGATGCAGTGCGATGATCTTGTTTTGTCGATGTCGCCAGAGACGTCCTCTCGGATCATGGTTGTAGGCGACATGTAAAAATACAAGCACCGCAGCTGCACTGCTGAAAGACGTCTTAAACGAGGTGTTGTCGCTCGAAGTTGCCGCAGCGTCCACGGCAGGGACATTGAGACGCGGAACAGTTTCACGGATGGAGGTTGGCTTCTTTTCAACATTGATGCTTTGTTCGGCAAGGGCTCGAGCGCTATGGTCAAGAGTCGTGCCCCTATATATGATGTGTACATACGTGTACCTATATATATATATATATATATATATATATATATATATAACTATACGACCGCCCTGCGGGTGATAAGGAGGTTTGGGGGGGGATGGGCCCAGCAATGGGCAACACTGGCGACGACGACGACGACGACGACGACGACGACGACGGCGACGACGACGACGACGACGACGACGACACGGAAACGGCGCCGGAGCTCCAGGCAGTTTTCATTCGGCACCCCGGTCCAGCAACGACCAACGACCGACGACGACGACGACGACGACGACGACGACGACGACGCCACGAAAACGGCGCCGGAGGTTCAGGCAATTTTCACTCGGCACCCCGGTCCAGCAACGACCAACGACCGACGACGACGACGACGAAAACGGCACCGGAGCTCCAGGTCATTGTCACTCGGCACCCCGGTCCAGCAACGACCAACGACCGACAACGACGACGACGACGATGACGACGACGCGAAAACGGCGCCCGAGCTCCAGGCAATTTTCACTCGGCATCAGGGTCCAGCAACGACCAACGACCGACGACGACGACGACGACGACGACGACGATGACGACGATGACACGAAATCGGCGGTTGAGTTCCAGGTTATTTTCATTCGGCACCCCGGTCCAGCAACGACCAACGACCGACGACGACGACGACGACGACGACGACGACGACGACACGAAAACGGCGCCGGAGCTCCAGACAATCGATCTCACAGGAGATTTTGCTCCCACCCGCCCACAGCGACGACGACGACGACGACACGAGAACGGCGCCGAAGCTCCAGGCAGTTTTCACTCGGCACCCCGGTCCAGCGACGACCAATGACCGACGACGACGACGACGACGACGACAAGAACGACTGCACGGCACGGCGCGACCTAATCGGTCACCCTCGCACACGGCACGGCACTTCGATCTCACGATCGATCTCACTATCGATGTCACGATCGATCTCACTACAGATCGCTTGATCGATCTCTCACTATCGATCACACTATCGATGTCACAATTGATTTGGCGATCGATCGATTCTATCGATGTCATCGCCATTCCTTTTTTGCTGCTCTTTCGAAATCGCGTCGACATCCAAATATCCGAAACAGGACGGGCGGCTGGAATGGCGGCGAAGGCGTGCGTGATCTGGTCGGAGAATAGAGGAGCGCTGGCAAAGCCTGGCGCAGCCCGCCCCCCCTTGCACTCACGTCTTGAACGGCGCCACGGATACACTGGCAGTCAAGACAACTCGTCCCATGGATTTTCCGTCTGGCCGCGCCCGCAGCTGCCTTCCGTCGGAGAGCATCTGCATCCAGTCCATGTGCGGGTGGGCAGCCCCGGCTGCGGTGCCGATGGTGGCGCCCGAGGCGACAGCGGCGGCCGATGCACCGGCAAAGCTTGGTGCCGCGACCTCGGAACCGGAGCCGACGGCGGCGGCCGACGCACTGGCCTTCGGCGAGCTTCACCTCTGCTCCTGCCCCTTGTGCGTCCAGCGCCACTCCCTGTCTGCGCTGGCACTGGCATTCTGCGAGCTCCACCACTCCTCCTGTTCCGTGGGCGTCCGGCTCCGCCGCTCCTCCTGTTGCTTGGGCGTCCAGCGCCACTCTTCCTGTTCCTTGGCCGATGCACTGGCAAGGCCTGGTGTTCGCGTGTCCTCCTCTGGCGGCACGTTGTGCACTGCCGGCTGCCGTGCCCCCTTTGCCCATCTGATGACCATTCCTGTGTTGCCCTTGGAGTTCCATGTGAACTCGGAGTGGCTCTCGATGATAGCTTTGAGCCCCACAGGAACCAAAAGCTTGTTGAACTTCTGGTACGCGTTCGTCCTTCGATTTGAGCTCCATCTTGTTGTGTGAGATCTGAGATGGATCGAACTCACTGTCGCGCGCGTCCAGGCATTGTTGCAAAAATGCAACCATGCGCGCGTCAGCGTCAGGCGCGTCAGCCTCCTCACCCGCGCCACCGAGGCGCGCGGGGGCGCGCGCTGGCAAAGCCTGGTGCCCCGCGTGGCAAGTTGGCCACCAGCTGGTCCGGCGATGCCTTCCAGTGAGTGCCCAGGTCGGAGCACAAAGTCCTTCGGAGACTCGTTGGTGAGTGACGCGACGGCTCGAAAGCAAGCGAGCTCCGAAGCTTCGTTTTGCTTGCGCCTTCCCCCGTCGCAACAACCCGACGGCCATCTCCTGCTGCAAAGCTTTTCGGCAATGTCAAGGTGCACCGCCGCTCTGCACTGGCAAGGCCTGGCGCATCGAATTCCTTGCAGGCCGCGACGGCCCTGACCCAAGGCCCCCCCGTGCACTTTCGGGCGCGCGGAAGCATGGTTGTCGAGGGCGGTGCGCCGCGAGATCTTGTCGACGCAGTGCTCCAAAGGGTACGTGTGGGCGGACGCGGCGCCCGCGCGGCCGCCCTGGCCGGCGGGGGGGGCGGCTGGCAAAGCCGAGGCCGTGCCGCGCGAGCCACAATCGGTGCGGGAGTGGCGCGGCAAGGCCGAAGTAACCTGCTTGAGCCGAACCCGCTTCGAGAAAGCTTCGGCGTACTCCTTGCCCCCCCCCTATCTCAGATGACGGGCCCGAGCCCGAACAGGGCCCCCAGAGTCCATAATCAAGAAACGGGGGCCTCGATCTCACTATCGATCTCACGCGATCGATCTCGCTCGCTCAATCTCACACTCCATCTCACAATCGATCTCATCATCGATCTCAGTCGGCCGGTCTCACTATCGATATCACTGTCGATCTCACAGTCGATCTTACTATCGATCTCGCTATTGGTTCCACTGTCGATCTCACTTCCGATCTCACTCGATCGATCACACTGTCGATGTCACCATCGATCTCCCACTCGGTCTCACCATCCCTCGCACCTTCCCTTGCGCGATCTCAATCAACAAACTGATCAAGAAGATGCGCCCATGCCACTCGACACGCATGCCGCCCGACACACATGCCGAACTCTCCTTGTCCCCGCCCATGCAGGTTAACGCGAAGACTCCCGGCGCCAAATCGGCACCGCGGCCGGCCCGCTCACCGTCAACGGCGAGCTGAACTCCAAAACTGATCGAGGGGGGTCGGCAGCCCGGCCGGCCCGCTCACTGACAACGACGACCAGGGGATCTCCATGCGGTAGTGCTCGCGGTGGTCGTGATTGTAGCGGTCATGACTCGGCGATTGCTGGCAAAGCCCGGCGCCGAGACACGTTCGCTGCGTCTACGCTTGCGAGGACTGGGGCTCGGATTGGAGACGCCTGAGTTTAGGCTGGCGCTCCTCCGACCAATATCTGCTGTCCTTTTGTTTGGTGGACATGGGGGGCGCCGCCGGACTGGGGCCCGGCTGCGGGGTCGTCAGAACGGCTTTCCACTCCGCTGCCATGCTCATCTGCAGCGCCAAGACTTCATCCTTGGAGAGCTTGACGACGTGCTCGATT